TATATATACAAACTACTTGTCATCATTCCAAAGCTTGAAGTTAAACTAACTTCAAATGTTTTATTAATTCAAAAAAGAAAAAAAATTCACACAGATACCATTTTCTGAAACTTCCATTTCATTAGCAGGTTTCAATTTAACAATAAAATGACATCCACATAACAGTGTAAGTACAAACTTCTAAAAAAAATTCTTATGATGTAGATTTTTATTTAAATATTAATAATCAATAAAAGAAATAATTATTTAAAATTTGTGCCAGTTTTACAAAAATGTGTTTCAACAGCTACCAGCAATTAAGCTTCTTTGACAAATATTTTACAAGTCTCAAGTACAACTGTTGTCTTTACTTTTATAGACTTTCAAAAGTACAACCTCCAACTTCATCACTGAAAACCCCGTCGAAATATCTGACCTTGAACGCCATTTTGTTTTCACGAAACTCAAGATAGTTTATTTTCTATTTTAGTTAATTTTCAGAAATCAAAACTACCAAATATTACCCTATTTACAATAGATGAATAAGGAGTTAGGCCTAGTCCTATTCAGTTACCCAACTAACGTTAGCCTATATACTATCTAACCGGCTCTCCATCGTCGAGTATAACCTATTCAACTATACTAACGTTATACACAGCTAGAACATAGTGAATCACGAATGGCACCCATTTGATGCAGTCGCCCTTAACAAAGGACATAGGATTTGCCTGTATTTTGAAAGATCAATTTCAGTAAAGTTACACAATACATACTCCTAAAATATATTTAACTCTTATTTCAATTCATATTTTAGTTATTGGGACTCATAATTTGTGAAACTAAATCGTTTAAACCACATAAATAAATTATTTTCCTCATCATGTCGTCGAGCTTCTTCCCCATTGCAACACTATGGCGTCTATAGCTAGCTAGTCTTTGTGCTAATGCTACGTAGCCATATCACTAGAAAGGCAAGTTAGTCGAGTGCTCAATATAACTATACGATGAAGTAAATATATATCTCAATGATTAAATTTTTCGTATGACATCACAATAAACTTCTAAAGATGATAGAATGAAATTACAGCATTAAAATCCTGTTAAATAAACCTATATTACTACAATATATTTTAAAACGAGAGATTTTCTTACCTAGTTAAGCAATGTCACAGTACTACCGCTATCTACCAAAGTACCAGTGAACAAGCAAGCGTTGAATCTAGCGTTCAAACCACAGTAAAGGAGAATACTCCAATTGGTCAATTCGGAAATGGCGCACATCATAGACAAATAGATTAGTACGAAAATAGTCACGTGCTACACGAATTTAGGGGATAACCAATGAATAAGAAAGTCTTTCATAGCGAAAAAAGCGCGGGAACACCAGTCTTTCATAGCCTGTATATAACGACTAGTATCGGTATATTATATTAGAAACTGCTATTGTTCATATAATTTCATGGTAAAATGAGAACTTCAATTAAAGAAAAAACAAGAATAAAAAATTTTATAACTCTTATTACCATATAACTCAAGATTAAATTAAATACAATTTGGTTAAGCAGCTCAATTTTCAAAACGAAAACTTCTTCTAAGACCTACAACTAAATTAAATTGAATTCAAAAACACACAGACTAATTGCTAAGTAAAAACGATAGATTGATGTTGAGACATTTTAAACGCTAATATGTCTAATTTGATATATTTATTTTGTAAGTTCATAATAAGAATACCTTGAACTCTTACATTTTTAACAACAATGTGGCAGTGCACAGGGTAATACAAATTACGCTGTAATTGAAACTAGAATAAAAGTAATTATTACTTAATATTACTACTCATTAGCAGTGAAACTTTTTTTTCCCTTATAAAGGAATGTTGTTTATCCTTCGAATGAAATATTAATGTATCAGCACTTATTCTTAGATTTGTAAACCCCCAAAGTTACAACTAGGTGAATGCTGACTTCCTTCCCAGCTTCCAATGCGTGGAAGACTGGAGGAAGCTTAACATTTTATATATATATGCTCGGTATATGCGTCTGAACAATTCTGTAACTATATATTCTCTTGCTAGGACCCTTTATTGGCATTGATGTGGAAACGTTTGGAATATAAACTTCAATAATTGATTGCTATTTTTTTCTCACCCTGTCAGTATAATGTACATTAAGAGTTGTTGTTGTTGTTTATTATTAAGCACAAAGCTACACAAAGGGCTATCTATGCTCTGCCCACCACGGGTATCGAAACCCGGTCTCTAGCGGTATAAGTCCGCAGACATACCGCTGTGCCACTGGGGGGCATACATTAAGAGACATTTTTATTTAATCTTAGTTTGTTTATAATATTCATATCAATTGTGAACATTATTATGTTCATTATTATTAATTTTCACACTTATGAGGAGTATTTTCTATTGTTAGGTTAGTGTAGTATGGGTGTAGGACTAATCTAAATATCCTAAGTTGGCTAAATGCTTAATCTCGTGAAATATTGGGATAATGGCCAAAAATATTGTTAATATCAAGAGCACGCAACTAATTGCGCCTCTTAATCATTATAAGTTTCAGTTTAATTGTGTATTGATTATGAAATTAAGTACTTCTTGTCAGTTTGCTGTATGGAATTGGATATGCTGAACTAATAGTTTTTAGTTCTGACCTATAAGATTAGCTTTCTTTTGAACATAAGTTATTAATAACAATATTTTTATTATAAGTTGATACAAATAGTAAATATACATTTATTTTACTCTTACGAAAAATGCAAGTGTTAGGAATGTTAAGACAAACTGTGAAGGAATTTTATGGCATTAAGTTTTCTAAGTTCCAAATAGCAACATTTAAAATGAATTTTATTAAGCACTATATGAATTAATATCTTCATAAAATAATCATATAAATGTTTTTTGTTTTTTTTGTGATCACACTGGTAAGTTAAACTTTCATAGATATGATGCAACTGACTCGCAAAAAAATATTATGACCAGTCTATAAGGATTAAAATAATCTGTTTTAAACTTGGTATTAAAACTCTTGAAATGTAGTTTTCTGTGTTAATTATTAACTATTTCTGTGAACATTTCATTCATTTTAAATTTACGTTTTTCTTGTACAGCAGTCGCTACGAAAAATTAGTTAACATTATCACACTGACCCTTCTCTGTTTTCGGAACATGTAAGTACTAAGTTTCTGTAACCATATGAAACATACCCCGAGGATGGAATAGTAATAACCTTACATATTATATTCTTTATTATGAATTACTTTATTTCTACAGTAAACAATATCACAAAATTTTGGCAAACTGTAGCCTAGAGGAACAAGTAAAATCCTTATATCTGGTTTAAAAAAGCTTTATTCTGACTTAGATTAACCTTCTCTAAATCAGGGGTTCTCTGCAGACGAGTAAAATTCTCTACGGAACTGACTGTGAGAAGCTTAGTGTAAAACTATTATAGTACAGTTTTATTAGATTTTAATAATAATAATACGGCACATTACAGTGACAATCATTCAACCTTATCACCTTAAGTATCACTGTATTAATCATTGTTTGACTTATCAAGCAAGGTGTTTGTGGTTTAGTTACTGTACATCAAACAGCTCGACAGCATATTCAATATTGTATTTAACTTTACCTAGATCATCTTTAAACAATAAAGTTGCACAGCTTTTATTGATACACGTTTATGTGGAATTGCTTTCGAAAAGGCAAGCTTTCCGCAGGTAATAAAATACACATATTTGCTTTTTTGTGGCACTCAGCTGGCAGAATATATGTTGCTTGTCTCTTTGAAGTTCATTGCTTCTATCATTAGTTCAAGCGTGCCTTCATCAGACATACTGGAATAATGATGATTCATGTCATTATAAATGCTTTAGGCACACAAAAATGGTTATGAACCTTCAGGAGTATATAATCGGACGCTCCATCGTCATTCCACAGAATGAAAAGATCGATCTTTGTAATGCTAAAATAAAAATTAATTCACAATCTTGTCACATTTCATTTTTATAAATACAATCACAATACACATTTCTCTGAAGTTGAATAATACAGACGTTTATTAGTCTAAAATAACAGAATAACGACTGTTTACTGACTTAACTATTGAAGACCTCGTAATTTCAGTCACAGCTTTCTAATATCACTAATAAACAATTAATTACAGAAAACTGGATTAACGTGCTAATTTATTGTGAAGCAATTTTTTGTAATATTCCACTGTACAAAATTTCGAAAAATTGTATAAATTATGCCTTTATTTTTTATGTATATGTTGGCTAAATACATAATAGTTTTAGTTTCTTCTTTATATTTCACACGTTTATATCAACAGCAACGTAGACATTTGGATATCATTCTTAAATTTTAAAGTTTGTCATTGATTTTCCAAATGAAAAATTCTAAACAACTTTTAAAGTAATTATACTAGTTTTATTTGAATGCTGCGAAATTAACAGTGTAACATCTACATGCAGATAACTTGCATTTAAGAAAAATTGTCAATATTTTATTAACAATTGAAAATTGAAGCACACACACACACACACACACACACATATATATATATATATATTACAATTATTAAGTTGAAGTAATTATCTTCACATAAAACTAAACTAAAATTAAAAATCAAGTTAACTACAGACATTTTACTTTTCCCCATTTTTTTTTAATATTTCGCTGACTTTTGACGTTTAAACTTTAAGACTGGTGCTACACACAAAATTATAAGACATAGCATACTAAACTGAAGGTTACACGTACGTCTTTATTGTTAAACATACACTTCAAACAGCATGAGGAAACAAGAATTTTGATGGTGAAGACCTTTTTAATAACATAATGTTTTGGAACAACATGGGACCTGTTGGTCCATCTTGGCTGTTCCATCTTCTAAACTAAACTATTAATAGATAAGCTTTAAAAAGTCTTAAAGCCAGCCCTTATCATTCATATACTTACCAAGCTTTCTCTTAAACTCACTTAAATTTACTGTTTCCACAACATCCGAAGGCAACACATTCCAAAAGCCAACTACCCTGTTAAAAAAATAAAACTGTCTTAGCTGAAGATGACTCCTACCTTGCCATAATTTATATTTGTGTCCCCTAGTCCTACTATTCTCATTGTTAAATATAAAAAAGATGATGCATCAGCACTATTAATTCCCTTTAGAATCTTAAACCCCTCAATCAGATCCCCCCTAACTTTTCTTTTTTCAAGAGAAAACAATTTCAGAGATTCCAACCTCTCCTTGTAAGACAACCCCTCCATCCCAGGCACCATTCTAGTAACCCTTTCCAGCAATTCAATGTCGTTCCTAAGGCAAGGAGCCCAAGACTGAACACAATATTCCAAATGTGGCCTAACCAGTGACCTGTACAATGAAATTATAACCTCTTTACACTTGTATTCAATATTTGTATACATACAACCTAAAATCCTAATTGCCCTACTACTGTTTCGATGGCTTTAAGAGACTTATCGACTATTACACCAAGATTTCTTTCTTTCATGACACTGTTAAGGTTATTCCCATCCAAATGGTACTTATAATTGAAATTATGATAACCCACATGCATTATCTTGCATTTATTGCAATTAAGCCCCATTTGCCATTTATTTGCCCAACTCACTAAATGATCTAAATCTTTTTGTAAATCATTAGCATCCTCTTCACAGCTAGCAACACCCAAGACCTTAATATCATCTTCAAATTTAAGTAATTTATTGACCATTCCTTCATCTATGTCATTGATGCAAATCAAAAAAAGCAAAAGTCCTAAGACTGAGCTCTGAGGTACTCCACTTGTGACCTTAATCTAGATTGACTGAACTTCATTCGTAACTACTCTCTGCTTTCTTCCATCCAGCCACTCTTCTATCCAATTTGCTAACTTAGCCCCCACACCTATAGAGATAATTTTTTACAAGCCTTTTATGTGGCATATTGTCAATTGCTTTCTGAAAATCTAGATACACCAAATATACACTCTTACCTCCATCTACATAAGCAGTAACCTTTTCATAGAATGTCAAAAGATTTCCCCTCAGTGAAACCATGTTGACTATCCAATAAAATTCTAAACTTTGTTAAATGACTTTGCAAAGCATCTTTTATCAGACTTTCCAAAACGTTTTCTACAACTGGTGTAAGACTAATAGGTTTATAATTACTGGGACAATTTTTATCACCCCTTGAAGGGAGAAGTTACATTAGCTAATTTCCAATCCTCTGGTACCTGCTCACTATTCAAAGACTGACACAAAATAGTAGCAAGTGGCTCACATATCCAATCTTTAACCTCCTTTAAAACCGTTGAGGAAATATTATCTGACCCAGGAGACTAGTCGTTCTTTAAACTTCCCAATTTCTTCTTAACCAGCTCAGCATTAATGTAGTCATCTCATTCGATCTCGTTTCCATCTATCAACTGTTCAATAACGGTAAACATACTATTAACTTTGATTTTATAAGCAGAGTGGCAATCTACTTATAGACTCACATGTAACAAGCGCTGGTTTACCCAATTTCAAAATGATAGCCTGATATTAGTCTGGAGGTATACAGGCGAATAATTCGATGATGATTCAGGTGTGAGGCGGTGCATTCTGTGGATTGGGAATGAAATATGCCAGTAAATTTTAGCATGAATATCAAGAGATTTAAAATAGCACATTCTAAGCAATATTTATGCATTTTGTTAAATAAGATTTTACTTTGTCATGGCTATCAAATATCGATACTCCCAAATCAAGAGCCAAATAAAAGTAACCAAAAGATCGAATGACCATTAGAGATGATTTTTAAAAGCTTAACCCTAAAGTTGAGAGTGTGTCGTACAGAAGCCATGTTTTGAAGCACCTTCAGACAAAAGAAATCCGTTGGACTAAGTTTTCTCATACAACTTTATGTTTAAGGCTCAATCTCACGTTTTGAAAAACGCAACAAACTTTCAAAAATATTTTGGCGTTGATGACAAGTTTTCCCAAAGGCTACTTTTCCTCGGGGCCATTCTCCCAGTATGTATTGATTAGGTTAATATTGAAAACATGTCTTCCATATATACATATTCAAATGAAGATTTTTCTGCAAGAAGTGAACTGATGAGCACAAATGTTGTATTATTTGAAAGTTCTAATGCTAAAATATAGCTGAAAGGCAATTTTAGTACACATTGTGTTACCAAAATAGTTACTAATTTCTGTACGATCAATTCCTGTTTAACCACTCTCTCTCAAGGGAATTTCTCACTTCGCTAACAATTATTTCCAGCGTAAGATTTCCCTGTAGTTGTTTTCAAACCATAGTATCAAACCGTATTAAAAGTACTGACTTATTGCATGTAAAATCCATCTCAAAATAATAACTCGACAGAAATATTTTTTTTACCTAATTATATAGACAGAAAACAGATCGAAGACCCCACAGCTGCTTGACTAACCCTCCACCATTGATTCTAGTCGTCATCAAATTGACAAATTCTCGAAACAATAATAATGAACAAAAAAATGTACCAGACTTTGTGCATCACAAAATAAAAGCAGATATTCTGACCAAAGGCAGAGTTACTCTGCATTATATCAATGATTGCTCTATGACTACCTGCCCAGGTTCTTTTAAGAGGAAAAGTATAGTAAGAAACCCATTTTATTAAATATAATTAAAATTATATTACAGTTATTAGATGCAATAGCCACTTTAGTAAAAAGTTGATTGTAGAGTAGTATTTAAGTAATAAATATAATCCCAGGTAGTTTGGAAGCGACACAAATCAACAAGAACACACTGATGCAAATATCCTTTTAAATTAATGTGTTACTCGTGTATCATTAAAGTTCCTCTGACTTTTTATGAATATTTAAGCATGTGTAAAATGATAAAAACCTTATAACCTGAGCGTTTTCGAAAGGTGAATCTTTCTTCTTCAGTGTTTGCTCTTGGAAAAAAAAAGTTAATCTTTCGAAAGCGCTCGGGTTATAGGGTTTTTATCATTTTGTATCGACTTCTTGAAACTACGTGTTTCCTGACAGGCAAATATAAGATATCAATTTCAGTTTTATGGAAATAATTAGTTATTTATTGTATCATATTCATAAGCACTAGGTGTGTGCATTAGTAAAAGAAACATTGCCGGTCAAATCTCGTTACAAATGTAACCCTGTTTATAGAGAATTACAAAGCTATTCTTCCTCTGTTGCCAGAAAATTGAGCTCTTTGATAACGAAAACTTCATTAGCAAAACGTTTCCCAATTCAAGAAATTAATGGTGTTAACATTTCCTTTGAAAATATTATGTGAATACAAAATATATCAGACAGTTTATTTTTTTTAAAAGCTACATTTCCATTTGATGATATTAGTTTGCGACAAGTTCCTGATATTTGAACTTTCCATATTCAGGCTCTTCATTGGCTCAGCGGTAAATCTGTAAGTTCGTTACGCTAAAAATTGGGGCAGAGCATAGATAGCTCATTGCGTAACTTTGTATACTTTACAACAAAACAAACAAATTAATATTCAGAAAATTAGGGCCAATCCTCTTATTATTAGTGAATCGTTTAGCTAGATTCTGAAAGCAAAATAACTAGTCTGAAAATGTAAAATTATAATTTTAAACTGTGCATACAATAAAACTGAATTGAAGGAGTCAAAGTAAACGTCATACGGAATAAAATTTGTCTGGGTCTATACCCATATGAACGTCGTGTTTTAATTTTAACTAATTTTGTTGATCCAATTTTCAAAACTACCTTGCCGAATCAACATAAAACTGAACTTAATGTAGAATATTCTATAGCGTATCTCAGATTTACTAAAATCACAAATTGTATAACAACCAGTTCTCAAATGCTTATTTCATCTAGTAATATATTTGTAGTTGTTATACGAAAAAAGATTATCCAGACTTAACATAATACATTGTGAATTTAAAATAAACGACAGTTATCGACAATCTAATTATAGCAGTAGAGGAAAGATAGTGGAGTCCACTGGTTGCCTTGGTGAAGGATCTATAAATGTGTATGTACACCAGTAGTTTCGCTTCTGTTTGATAGGTCGAGAATTAAGATTAATGGTAAATTTTAAAGGAATCCTTTACATTTGTAACGTAATTTTCATTTGTGAAAATGCTTCTTTGAAAAAAACCATATCTATTTTATGAAGACGCCAGAAAGCAAGTTAAGCTACTATATTTTTATTCACAAGTAGTAAGACTGAAGAAACATGTTTGTGACAGATTAACTACATATAATTATTTACTATATCTACAGTAACCAGTATCTTTGCTCAACTGTTTTTGACATTTGGTTGATAAACACATCAAAAGCCATGCTATTGGTTAAGGCACTGTTGGTTGTCAACAGGTACAATATTACAAAATTTTCGTTCCTTACCACTTCACTATCAGCAGTTAGAAAGTTGTCATATGTAAAAAATCATTCAGAGTTAACATTTTCATTACAAACTTCATTAACCACAGTTCTTTAATGATTTAATTTACACGTACTAATAACATACCTAAATGGAAACTCCTAATAACGAAACAAATTACTAATAAGTTTTAAATATATCAATACTAAAAAAAAAACTAGTTTTGGCATTAAGGATACTAAAATAACAAGATACAAGACCCACTAACCTGAATACGTCAGTAAGGTAAGCTTGAAACATGCTTGGGTTATTAAGTCTTTTCAACTATTTTGTGTCTATATAATGTGATAAAAAAATTGCATTTGTGATGACTAACTTGTTAGTTTTCAGTGACGAATAAGTCATTATTCAAAAGATGGTAATACCATGCAGTGTAAAATAAAATCAAAGAAAAATTGTATGTTTTGTTTAATTTTTTCAGTCTCTAGTTGAGAACAGTATTTTTTAATACAGTGAAGACATGGCACATTTCCTTATACTAGTTCAATATCTTCAACATTAATGACATACATATTCTGTTTCTTGCCTATAAACATCACACTACGTTATTATGCCTTTACTTATGTCATTTATTAAAGCTTTTAATAGATAAAAAATGGCCTACACTGTATGAAACACAGATGAAAGAAAATTAATTTCTATGATATTAATGCCATATTCTAGGAAACCATGCTTTTACTTGTATCATAAGCTTGTTCTGGACGTTTTGCTATCATTAATGACTCAGGAGTACGCTTTTACTTACTTTAGTGGCCTAGGAGTAAATATTTTACCTGTATTAGTAACTTAGGAGTAAACTGTTACTTACATTAGTGACCTAGGAGTGAATGTTTACCCGATCAGTGAATTTTTACTTACTTTACTGACCTAAGAGTGAATTTTTACTTACTTTAGTAACCTAAGAGTGAATTTTTACCTGTATTAGTGGCTTAAGAGTGAATATTTTACTGGTATTAGTGATTTAAGAGTGAATAATTTAATTGAAGTTTTCCTATAAACAAAAAATGTATTTCATTAAAATGAAAAACTGAGTGAATTTCATTTTAAAAACATAACAATTCCAAAAAATCTGTACAAGTAGATCAGTTGTTTTATTAGCAATACTAAGAAATGCTTAGGAATAACTTGTTTATGGAAAGAGCTTCTACACAATACTTCTAAATTCTTAGTAAAAATAACATTAGGTTCTGACTGTTGAACGTAAACAGCACAAGATTTTATTTACTTTGACAATAATGTATGAAATCTAACAGCAACAGTAAAACATTTTCCCGCTATTTCATCTGACTGTATTATAGATTTTTGTTTTTTTGCATATCAACTGTCATTCATCTTAAACTGACATTTGTTTAATGATTCAAGTTGGTTTTATCAGCATTTAAAAAATGAAATAAATGTACAGTTTAATGTACTTTAGGTTTTAATTGCATCAGGTTCATAAAAATGTATAAAAAATACCAAGAAAAACCACCAATTCTCCTCCACTTTACTAAAAATTCACATGTAGCAAAGAGACAAAATAAAAATCATAGCAATATTTTTTTTATCAGATGTCTTGTTGTAGTTATAAGTATAAACAGTTTTATACTCTTCCCTTTCAAAAGAGCTTTTGATGTTGTTTAGATTTCCATCCAAACACAGCATCCAGTCTTTCTTCACCTATCAATTGGACATATTACTGTTTGAAACATACAAGTTTGTTAGGTAACAGACCCTCATGATGACCAGTAGAGAACTGTAATATGAACAGTTTTACGTGGTGATGGTACAAGGTTCTATTACCTAATGTGAGCTTAGACATTTTCAGTTAAAAAGATTTTCGAACTTCACTTTATTATGATACATAAATCTCTGGTAGTGCAACTTGTTCTTTGATAAAGTAGAAAATTCATGTGATAAAAAAGGTCCTTGCAAAGTAAAGATTACCCTAAATTACAAAGCACTGATTCTTTAGAAATGTACATCTTATATCATAGTAACAAAGATCAACAAGTTTACTGTACATCAATGGGAAGTAAATTCTTATGGAAAATTATAAATAAGGAGCTAATTATTCTTGATGATATATATATATATATATTCAGCTTGTAAGGGGAATACTATGCTGATCAGTGTATGATACATTCAGCACATTCTTCACTATGTACAGTTAGTACATGCACAGCTGAACGTTAACAAAAGTAAGTCACTTAGTTTTTAGCTACCACCAGAATCTGCTCCATTTTTTTGATCTAGTTTGTTCTTATTGTTTTTAACCATATAAATAAAAAAGGTTATTGCTTCCTTCTCCACAACCTGTATGGTCTTGAAATGTCGACTTAATGTCTGGAATGAAACAAAAATAAGAATTTGTTTTTTAATTAATAAAAGTATAACATTTTATCTAAAATATTTCAGTGGGTATATTTGAGATATTAAATTTAAGTTTTACATGACCTCATAAAATTGTCAAGCCTGACTTAAAATTTTCCAATTGGCTCATAAGCACACTGTGCCTGCTAGTTCACTTATTATTTAGTTCCAAACACAAAACATTTAAAGAATAGCTAGAATTTATAATATTTCAGCTATGAAAAGGTAAAAAACTGCTGCTATAATTACAATCTCCTGTCTCAGTTAATTTTTCTGCTAATCAAGCATTTTAAGGTCCATCAAATGATATAAAAGGTAAATGTGAAACATCCAGTTGTCTTCCTGGGTCTTTAGCCATGATTCATGAATGATACGAAGCACTTTAAACTGTGACCAATTGGAAAATGACAACTCAGACAAGACTGTGTTAAAAATAGGCTCAATGACTAATCATTTGTACTTCAAATCATATGACTGATCATCACATGTTTAATTTGAACCAAGGGAGATGACTGATAGTTAAAAAAAAAGCAGTTTTTTTTATAATAATACAAATTACACTTAACTTATATTTAGTTCACTATTTAAACTGAAAGAAAGAAAAAGCTTTTGTCTTCAAAGCTAAACCTATTTTGAACAAATATATTTCTAGTAAGCAATTATAATTACTATTATATTACTAACTTGTTTTTCAGCATAAAACCCATTTTTAAACCAACTTTATGATGGACTATTGTAAAAATATTACACTGATGTTTTACTCTTGTGTTAAGATAATGCTTGAAGCTACTCAAAAGTTCATGTTATTTTGGAAGAACAAAGTAGTTATTTAAAAAAATAAATTTTCATGTTTATTTTAATAGTTTATTTCAACAAGGTTGTGTAAATGTCTTGGGACAATTCATTGGTTTCTCATCTTGGTTTCCTTATCAAACTCCAACTAAACACTTTAATGATGATCATGAGCAGTGATACTAACAGTACTTAATCTGACTTTATAGTTATTAAAACTACTACTTACACTCCGTATATAAAGTTATTTAAAATAATAGTAGTAAGATTAATTAAATTATTTTAGTAATATATATATATATATATATATATATAGGTCACCAACACCAAGCAGGATTTTTAAAAATCATAAGGAAAATTAAGGCTTAGGTTTAAATGTGTAAGCTGACAGACTATATAAAATAAGCAAAGAAAAATCATAAGGAAAATTAAGGCTTAGGTTTAAATGTGTAAGCTGACAGACTATATAAAATAAGCAAAGAAAAATCATAAGGAAAATTAAGGCTTAGGTTTAAATGTGTAAGCTGACAGACTATATAAAATAAGCAAAGAAAAATTTTAAGTCTAATATGATTTTGTTCACAAAATTTATAGTCCTAAATCTATCAAGGGCCTAAACCATGAACATCACAGTATCATTATGGTATAACTTGTGACTGGCACAAAATTAAAAATATTTCTTACATCAGCAAGCTGGGCTTTATTTAGCCCTGGTCGAGTTTGGATCTTATAATGTCGTTTGTATCTCCGCAATGTATTAACCTGAAGCTGATACAAATCAACCTATAGATAAAAGAAAATAAATAAAAATTATTTAAGAACTGTCAGCAAGTTAGTATACCTGCCATCACTTCTAAAATACTAAGTTTCTTACTTATCTTTTAAATTTACTTTCTTCCTTTTGTTATTAATTATCTTCCCTGTTTCTAACTATTCATAACTAACTATTTAACTTTCCCTATTTTGTTAAACAAACATGAAGTAATTAAAAATGTAACTTCTTAACAGGTATATATATACTGTTTTTTAAAAACATATTTAAATTTTTCTAGTATCCTTTGCTAATTTTCTACATGAATGTGAAAGTTTGATTGTTAACCCCCCCCCCCTCAACTATATCAACAGATGTCAAATCACCCATGACAAGATTTTCTATATCTGCCTTACCATTTTCATGTCTTGCTGCTATATAAAGTTTATTGTGTATACATTCAGAGAGGGGCAATTAGTGGAATTTGCTAATCAATTAATAACTGGACTTCAACTAATTAATTGGTTTCACATGAGACTTAAATAGTTTAAATAATCAATAATAGCAGTAATTAAAAACATTCACTTCATTTAAGCTGAAAAGCCCTAAATTGAAAATAATAATGAGAAATCATAATGGCAGTATTTTGATGACTTGAATAGATGAAATAATTGGAAACACTAGTTTCAATTAGTTAATCATCATGACACTAAGTTATCTAATTGTAATTTCCATTAATCAATCATTCTGCATGAAGTTGATCAGTGTAATTGATTGTCACAGGTATTCAGTTATATCAATTAATCACTCAGCTTTACATACATTGTCAGGTTACACATTTGGAAACTCAGTTTTTTCTTCTCAGAAATAGTTGAATTATATTCTTTATTAATTTTAGTTTTTTGAAATATTCCAATTCTTTCTTAGTTGCCACAGATTACTGGTCTTAATTTAGTTCACAGAAATCTGTATACCTTTTTTACTTGTTATTCTCTATGACCCTTGAGTCGCATCAAAAAATAACAAATTCATAGAATCTTGGATTCATTCCTTAAGTGTTACTACATTTTACCAGAAAAGAATCACAAACCACATCTTTTAAAAATATATATCTACTAGTAGATTTTTCAGTACCCTTAAGTTATAGATTAGACCTTGCTTTAGTAGCCTATTTATGTGTTTCATAAACTGATTTTTCTAACAAATATCTAAGGTATTTATACTAATAAATTATTTTATTGAGAGCCTCAACTTGGTAAAATGTAATAAATAAAACAATGATGAAGTGTTTCTAAACTATAAACACTATTATGGAAAAAATTATAAAAAATAAAAGCATATAGAACAAGAAGAAAAACAAGGGTACAAACAAGATATTTATGACATACTTTTAAACAGTTTTTACTAGTAACATGCATATACTGTTTACCTCTGGAGCATCAATATCTTGCTCATTTGATGCATTATCATCATCACTATCTTTTCGTTTTCTTTTAGCTCTAACACTCTGAATGACACTTTTATGGTGATCACATATGTAAATATGACGGGCCTACAAAAGAATACATTTTGTTAAAAAAACATTGTCCATTTTTCAATATTTTAGAAAAATCATCTGATTATACAAATTTCATCAATAAAAATTTTCAGTGTAATCACTTTTTTAAAAATATAATAACAGTACATTTATAAATTATACTTTTTGAACTTTGAATACAAAACTAATACTTATAAGCTAAACAAATATAAAAGTTTTACTAAATATTAGTGATACAATAAGGGAAAGTTGAGTACATTTTCTAAATTTAACCTTAAGTAAACCATTTAATAGACCATTATGGAGCTGTATTGTTTAATAATATACAATATTCTGGTGTATACCAATTTAATAAACTGACTTCCCCCTTTGAAAACAATAATTAAAATATTTTTGGGATAAAGTTGTTGATGAACAATGACTCAGAATTATGGCAAATCATGCTTAAAACTAATCACAAATAAAAGGAGATAAAGCTAAAAAAGGTGTTTCAGTATGAGAGATGGGTAATGATAACAGACATAGAACTAAGTTCATGTCAAAGTTAGGTAGCTTTTATAATTATGATTTTTAAAATCCCTCTTAAAATCTTAAATTTTTGATTAAACTGAGAAGCTTAGATAAAAAAAAAGAATTCAAGTTGATTTACCAAAAAAAGGAGTATTATAACAATGTATGAATTAATATCTTTTATTCACATATTGCTAAGTACCAGAAGAACTGTATAACAGTATGACTTCATTTAGTGATATACATGTAAATTAACTATGTTTAAAATTTGTCTATATAATAAGTAGACTAAGCAAATTTGATCAAAGAACAAACTCAGGTTACTAGATATTATGAACAAACTAGTTCTTGTCCTGGATCAAATTCTACTCGATTATTTTAACATTAAATTGGCATTTGCTAGACAGAGCTAAAAGATTAAAGTTTTGGGTATGGTGCCAAAAGAAACTGAAATAATTTGGGAGAAATTTCATAAACAGGTGCTAAAAGTAACTTCCAGTTGTATGCTAATAAATATGGAATGTTACTAGATAACAAATCTCTACTTGACTGTTCAGTAGTGGTTACAAAAACATTTACTGTGACTGAATACGAATCACAGTTTACTAAAATTTGTTTTAGGCCTAATGATAAAAGAACTCAGTGGCATTTTTAAAAAGACAGGCTGACTGCTTACATAATTATATAAGAATTGTAATAGCAGATCCACATGTTAACATATGATCTATTACAAATGAACAGCAATTACATCAATTAGAGTGGCTTAAACTAATCAATTAATCAAAATTAGTGTTTCAAATTATTGCTATTTTCAATTATTCAAGCTATCCAAAACTACATAATGGGCTATTTATGCTATGCCCACTGTAGGTATTGCAAGTTGTTTTCTAAATTTCAACTTTATGCATGGCCTTGTGATTCATGGGGGATTCTTAAAATCTAAGGGTCTCAGAGCCAGTTCCCATTGCAACCACTCTTTCTCACCTCGTCTTTGTTATGGCAAAGCTTCTAAGGTTATCTGCCATTGTAACTAATTCTGAACTGCTGACTAGAGGGAAAGCAACTAGCTGACAACATCTACTGCAAATGCTTGGGCTACTTCTGTGTTAGATGAATTATAAGTTTACTGTTTCTTATATTTATAATTCATAACTACATAACTGTATTTTTAATGTTGAATTAGTGGGAATGGATCTAGGGAATGGTTCCAGTAGTCGGATCCACCCAATTTTCTTCCAGAAAAAAAAATCAGACATCCTTACAGATACCATATGGTATAAATAAAAAATATTAGATTTCAGAGTTAGATTTAATTGTTCTATTAATTATTGTAAAAGTTTTGTTAGTGAACACTCCTGAAGTCTGCAACAATCTGGTTACAAGCTTTGCCAGTGAATGATTATTTCTGAGCTAATACAACAACATGAATGTCAATTAAACATTCTTAGTAAATTTTTGCACCTTGGCTTTTACCAAACACTATCTATGCATTTAGACTTTAGTTTTTTTTTTCCATAAAAGTTAGTATTGTTTATGGCATCTGCAGCTCTTATGATTTCTTACAGAACCAATTATCATTGTTTAGAAGTTAGAATTTTCACAAGACGTTTTTTTGTATTGTTGATGTTCGCGATAAGATAAAATGCAAGCAGTATAACTTATAACTAACAAATTATTAAAAATTTTTTTAAAAGGTATCCTGTTTATAAAGGCTAAAATATGAATTTTAGGCATAACTATGTTTATCTAAATATAAATAAATATGTATTTTATTAATTAACTTCTAAAAAGGTTTTTACAATTAATTTTTGTTTCAAACATTTAAAAAAAAGTTCTCCATCTAGTGAGCTCCAACATTTCTTTATTTTTCTATGAAGTTGGTATTGTTATTCAAGAATACTTAAGATCTGACCATGTTTTGAATTTTTTTCAACAATGAAAAGTTTTCAACTAATTGACACCTGATGTAGGCCTATGGCCAAATTATTAATTTTACATAAACAATTCTTTTTTACAAAGTAAAATTCAGTAGTTTTAGTAAGATAGTCTTATAAAAATTTATAAGGAAAAACCCACTGAATACTATCAATCATATTTTCAGCTGGTTACAGGTCTTGTACTATTATGCATGTACAATATATTTTCATGTACAACAATTTGGAATTGACAAAGTAACTTACTCCTAAATTATTGTACCTGAAGTAAGGATTTACCTTAGCTTTATTATACATTTTTCACCAAATGGATTTTTTGGTCAGAAATGTTTTAGAATTGATATTTTGTCATTTTATAACATGTAATAAACAAAGAAACTGTTTAAAATACGTTCAAGCTTTCATTTCTGCACAGCTCCAATGGGTTTCATCTATAAACAACATATTTGTAATTTTTTTTTACAATTTTTCTGTTTATCCCAAATAATAACTTGCTAAGAATCTATTAATGCTTGAGAGTATATTATCCATTTCTTGAATTTTAAGCATATACCTCATCTTTTCTACTTGATTTTTGTAAACTTTTGATGATGTCATATCAAGCAGTTTTATCATTCATTTACTAATGAAAGACAGCTTGAAACCAGCTATGAAGAAAGTTTAAGTATGATTGGGTAGAGCAAGAATTAGAATATATAACATCATAGAAGAGTAAATATAACAGACTGAGTAGGGTGCTGATTTAGAAGAAGGGCTATGCTATTCAATTAAGTTTTAAGATGACTTCTTTTATTTTAAATGAGGTTTAGTTCTGTCTAAAATTACAATGTTTTTGATAAATATACTAGTTTTTAAGTACCAGTTTTTAGTATGAAGTTTTTATTATGTTAATCAAATCAATTCATCATGAAATGAGAGAGATAAATTTACTTAAATTTAGTAAGGCAGGTGACAGCAAAAATATTCTGAAAATGCAAATCCTTATTTATGGAATATTACTTTTATATTTATCTTAGCAAAGAATGTGTATAAATAAATTGGCTGACTATATTGTTATTTCTAATTGCAATCATTATATATTTCAAATAAAAACAGTACCATAATTATAGTAAAACAAATTTTAATTAATTATCAGTTTATTTGGTTTACACAAGATTGATGGAAAATTACTACATATTTTAAAAAGAAATAAAATGAACACACTGCGGTCATTTTTAGTTGTCATTAGTGATTTGCCAAGTAGAAAATGTCCCGGTTATCTTTACAAAAACAACTTGTGTCAAGAGTTTTGCCAGAAACTGTTTTTGTTTGCAAAATGTGCAAGTGCCAAACAGCAGAATATTTCTATAATGGTGAAAAAAGGTAAATTGGAAATTACTCAAAAAACAAACAAAAAAAACACACTAGCTTTCCTATTATTCTGTAAGTCTAATCAAAATCACCTTAGGTGTGAAAAAAAGGTGCAGGCAGGATTGATCATCCGACTTCAAGGAGTGAAATCAAAATTGGCGGCCAAACTGGTAGCTACACTTGTAGTAATGGTAAGGATTTCACACCAAATATTCATTCATTAGTTAGCCAGGCCACATATTTTGTTCAACTTGGGCCATGATGATGGGAAATACAAAATAAGTACTAATGAATGAATATTTGCTGTAAAATTATTTTCAATGCTATAAGTGTAGCTACCAGTTTTTATTTCATTTCTTTAAGTTGCACACTCAATCCATTTTTGGCCACACCTTTTGCTTACACCTAAGGTGTTTTTAATTAGATATCATGACTTTTTATCAATACAAATCAACAAACCACAGCAAGTAAGAAAGTGACACTCGCTAGTAACCTATATTAGCTTTAAAATCGCAACCCTATTATTCAGAACAGATCTTTATTTTACAGAACCCTAAGGTGTTTTTAATTAGATATCATGACTTTTTGTCAATACAAATCAACAAACCACAGCAAGTAAGAAAGTGACACTCGCTAGTAACCCATATTAGCTTTAAAATCGCAACCCTATTATTCGGAACAGATCTTTATTTTACAGAATCAACCATTTTTTAAATTATTTGGTGGTAGCTTTTCCTCTCTAAAACAATGTTTAATAGCTTCCTTCATAATAACACCATGGAATTTAGATTAAGAATTTCTTGTCATCACCCCCATGCAATTGGTACAGCCATATCAAGCATCATTATTTATACTGATTGCTTAAGCTAATGTCACGTGATGCTAAACTCTCTTTAATTTGGATAATTTCATAAAATTCAGTAAATGAATAATCAGTAATAACTCTCCACCTATATGATTCTTTTGGAAACCTGAGTTAGAAACTGCTAATCTAGTTTGTTTGGCCTAATCAATACTTGTATATCTGCCCACACTTTTGCCCTATGCTCTAAATCAGATGTTTTCAATCTGAATGACACAAAACTAAAAACTATCCACCTTTACTTTTAGGTGAAGCTGTAGTAAAAATGTTAGACTGATAGCTTATGTGACTTTTTTGCATAAATGTGTGCAAAAATTTGTCAAATTTGACTGTTTTTCTTGAATAACTTTGCACATGTG